ACATTCTATCTTTCAAAACTGGATAGAACAGAACAACTTGTACTACCATCATTAGTCTGTATTTATCTGTGATTGTGACTATAGGGACTATAATTGTGACTACCATTAATCTGTATTGATCTGTGATTGTGATTATAATTGTGACTACCATTAGTCTGTATTGATCTGTGATTGTGATTATAATTGTAACTATCATTAGTCTGTATTGATCTGTGACTGATGTCAATTGGACAAAAAATTGCAATCTTTTTATCCCATCCAAAAAAAATTGAACAAGTCGAATAGATACTCACTCTCGATCTCAATCTTTCATCTATGTAAAAGACATAAATGCCCTTTTCATTATCGTGGTGTCAAAGTTGGAGGTCTTGTATACAATAAATAGAAAAATGACATTTGCTTGCTAGAAGAAGAGATCACCCATCCATGGCTTCATGGAATATGATGTCTACTTACATACAAAGGAAACAAGAAAGATTTGCATGAAGATCAAATTCGATAACTAGAATAGTCAATAGCAACATGTTTGAAAGAGATACATCATCTTCAATGACTACTACTCTTCTATCTTCATCTGCATTTCAATCATTTACATCTTTCAAGAAATTCGATTATTATTACTATTATTATTATTATGGAAGTGGTTCTTGTGAATCCCCCAAACGTGACAAATGAAGATACGCATCTGTTCCTGCAAAAACACAACATAGAAAGAACTTTATTTTTCTTTTCAAGTAAAGGATGATTGATTGATTGATTACTCTTTCTTGTATTATGCATATATACATGATAATTTAGTGAAAGTAGTGCATATGGAGTTTGACATACCGTAGCCTTCCATGGAGATGATTTGAAGATCCCCTCCAAAATACCGAGCATATAACCGACTTATAGGAAGCCCATAACCATAACCAGCCATTGTTGCTATATCTGCAGTTCCAAGATCCGATCGCTCATCAAGTGGATTTTTTGCAGTACTGTAGAGGTATGTAAATATCTTAGGCAGACCACTTCTTGGAATTCCACCTCCCTCGTCAGACACCTGTCATACATATCCATTTTCCAAATTAAATTATTGAAAATAAAAAAAAAAAACGGAAATTCAACCAAATAAAATACATTTTTCGCTTGTTTGCCACACATGACATGACGGATTTGTACTGTGTTTGACATGCATTGAACTGACGTCAATGGGACAAAAATTGCAACATTTTGTTTCACCCAGAGAGGTGGGACAGGGACTCGCTCTCGATCTCCCGTTTGTGGAAAAAGACGTGAACGCCCTCCTCATCCTCATCATCAAAAATAGCCCTAGAAATCTTGTTCAGTTATGTCCAATCCAGAGGCAGCCTACGGCTGCCTCTGTAGTGTAACAGACGCAGCCTACGGCTGCGTCTGTTACACTCACACATGACTGGATAGGACTGAACAAACTTTTTAGGGATGTTTTTGATGATGAGAATGAGGAGGGCTTTCACGTCTTTTTCCACAAACGAGAGATCGAGAGCGGGGCCCTGTCCCACCTCTTTGGGTGAAACAAAAGGTTGCAATTTTTATCCCATTGACATCAGTTCAATGCATGCCAAACACAGTACAACATGTCTTGCCCTGTGTTATACATACAGGGTCTTAAGCATGAAACCGAACATGCCTTAATTGTAACATCTTCCAACCCATCAGCAACTATTATCCGAATAGGAGGTGCGAGTTTTTCCAAATCCATAAATCGCTCTTCAACAGCACGCAATGAATTTTTAACCAACTCAAACACCATCAAATGCAAATGTGTAGGGACATAACTGTCATTAACATGTCAAAAAATGAAATTTGAGATCAAAAATAAAAAATGTTACGAATTGTTCAGAGAAATACATGACAACTTACGGGAATGTGAAATCAGGATCACCATAGACCTTAACATCAGGTGCAGTGCCATATTCACGTAAACAAACAGATCTTGCATCTTCACTAGCATGCCTTGCTACTTCTACTGGAGACATTTTTGCATGTATGTAACCAATTCGATCTGGTGGGGGATTTGGTTCATGCAGTGCCACATGTTGACCTGAGATTTGACCGAATTTTAAACAAGAAAAACTACTTTAACATGATAATAATTGTAATGAGTAATAACGCATTCCACATGGAGTTTATGATACTAACCAATTAGCATACGAATGCCAATTCTTGACATGTAAAAGCGATCTAGAAACTGGTGAATGTCATCGAGGTCTTTGTAATCAAGTTTTGGGTTGAGATCTTTCTTCAACTGTTGTACACCAAGAGCCATGGTAGGGACAACGTTATTGTGTCGCACCTTGATTAAATTAATCATTTTTGTGAAGTCTTGTTCGTCATTCATGTCTTTGATATCAGGAAAGGATCTAAGGTCACGAAAGGAATCCAGGTACCAATCTCGCACCTTGCATGTCACAAATGGAATCAATTTTTTAATTTTGAATTCTTACAGGAATCAAGAGTGTAAAACGTAGTTGAAGGAAAAGAATGGTGAAGTTCTATAAAGCAAATGGATAAGGTAGCAGTTATTTCTCAATTCTTACAAGAATCAGATCCCTAATTTGCGATATCATTAAGAAGTTTAATGTGATCATCAAATATGATGAAATTGGAGTAATTCAGATGAAATTTGAAGTTAAAAGTAGCTTTATCACCATCAATATACACACACAATGGAATTTGAAGAATTTGAACAACACCCAATTTGCAGATCACGTAATCTATCAAGTAACTATGGCCTAATTCTGTCACCAAGAAACCGAATCTTTGAAGAAAATCTCCCTCAATTGACAACAATATAACACTCCTATAAACCAGATAACAAAAATAGGGCCAGTTATCGGAAATCAAAGTGAGAAAAGTGAAATTATCCAGAAAGAAAACCTAAAATCGTATCAAGGAGAATTATTGGAAAGGAAAAGAAATGGGGTTATAACATACTTTGAGGATAGCAGGCTTTTCGGATAAACCATATGGAAGAGACTCGAGCTCAATGGCGCGCCTAGCAATCCTTATGGGGAGCTCCTTGTGAAGAAATTGAGCACCAAGGAGGAGATTACGTTCACTGAATTTGGAGCCGAACTCCATCATGTAACGGAGGCTGACGCCGTTCTGTTTCATAGCACCCCATCGGTGCACCTCGTCGATCAGAGACTTGGAGAAGGAATCGTATAGCTTCTTGGCGGCCATGGCTGTGTGGAATTTGAGGAGCAGCGTAGTCCACAAGGGGAAACTGACATATCACGATCAGACACACTCACACCCCATACCAATGAATTATGATGCTTCACATAAAGTTTTGTTTGAGAACGAGAGGATTGCGTTGGCGTTATCTTCCTGGAAGTCGGAGGTATTTAGGCTTCATACAAATATTCCCAAAAATGGGTCTAAACAATGTGACTATTTAGCAGTAATTCTTGTTAAAATAGTCTATAGAATTAGAAACCACGGGGTATCTATTTTCTTAAGACTAAAACTATAAATTTAGTCTAAAAAGTTTAAAAAAAAGACCCCAACAACTTTAAAAAAAGACCCAACAACCTTTGAAATCGCAATTAATCCTTATTGGGCTGTTGGACAAGTCCATTTGTGATTTCTTAAAGTCCACTTAGGATTTTTTTCCTCGTATATATATATATATATATATTATATATATATAGATATATATATATATATATATATATTATATATTATATTTTTCTGATAACCTCTTTTAACTACGATTTCTGACCGTTTGAGTGCGATTTCAAGATATTTGGATTACGATTTTTTGACCCTTTGACTGTGTTTCCACGGTTTTGCTGCGAAAATAAATATATATAATATATTTTTTTTTAAAAGAAAAATCAACTTATCTATATTGAAAGTTTTAAAAAGTTAGATTTTTTAATTAGATTTTTATTTTAAAAAACCATGAGTTCACATTTTAATCATTTTTTTGGTTTGCACATATGAAAAATAGCATATCCTTGATATCAACAAAAATATGTTAGGTTCTCAGGGAGTATTCATTTACCACACTACCGGTTTATTGCTACAACTTGGAGAGGTATAAGCTTGGTATCGTGACATACATTTTAAACAAATGTTAAGGAGCGGTTCTAGTTCCTTTTTATTTCATGTGGTTGCTCGGTAAGCTTTATTTTTTATAAATCAACTCTGGATGTAGTATACTTTCCACATGAGTATGTTTTTATAGCTACGTTCATTCATGTACGACTGATTTAAACCTTATTTGAGTGGTTCTTTATGCCCCCATCAAGAAGAAGACCTCTTTGTATGTAACCCTAAGGAAGAAATTGAGCAGTTGCATTCGAGATGTTTGATGAAATGCCTAAGTGAAACTATCATTCATGTTTTGCCCCTGTATCCAAACTAATTAAATCATGATCACCCTAAAGTATGTTTTGTAATATTACTATTAGTGATGCTTAAGATCTTCCAATTTTCATCCATGGAAATCTGTTGCAATTAAATATGGAACTGGTACTATCTCTGGTTTCTTTAGCCAAGATTCTATAAGACTTGGTGACTTTACTATCAAGGAACAGGTAAAGACTAAAGTTTAAGAAATTATGCATCTTTTTATTAAAATTTCTTCATTTTGACAATTACTAAATTACCCATTTTCAGGATTTCATAAAAGCAACCAAAGAGTCTGGAATTATTTTTGTTGCAGCAAAGTTTGATGGTATTCTTGGCTTTGGGTTTCAAGAAATCTAAGTTGGGGTTGCTCTTCATGTTTGGTACTTCACTCATTTTCCAAACTTTTTCTTGGAGTAAATTACATTTTTTCCCCTAAGTCTTTTCAAAAGTTTCAGTTTTAGTTTCAGATAGTTCTATTCTGCAATGTTGGTGCCTCTGTGAGCCTGTTCAATTGTAAGAGGAAACCTATTTAGGACAAAACTGTAATTTTAAACAAACTACGGGACCAAAAATATAATTTTTTTTAATGTTTGATGATTGACTATATTAGGTACAACATGGTCGACCAAGGTCTTGTTTATGAACCTGTGTTTTCATTTTGGCTTAATCGAAATACTAAAGATAATGAAGGAGGTGAATTTGTATTTGGTGGTGTTGACACTAATCATTTCAGAGTTGTACACACTTATGTCCCTGTCACTCAAAAAGGCTACTGGCAGGTTACTATTGTTTATATTCATTTTAAATTTTTTTTATAAAAATTTATTACTCATTTGGTTATTTTTCTTGTTATAGTTTGAAATGAATGATGTCGTTATTAGTAACGAAACAACTGATAATTTGTAGCATTTTTTATCCTTTCCGATATTTAAATTTGTGTTTTTATAGTTTCTGATTATCATACTTTTTGTTTTTCTTTTAGGATTTTGCACCAATGGTTGTGCAGCAATTGTCGGTTCTGGAACCTCTTTATTGGTTGGTCCAACGGTATATATAGTTTACTATTTCCGGGGGTAAAATAGATATTTATACACATTCATACATGCATATTTTGTTGGCCAGAACCTCTGTTTTAGGTTGTTGTTACTGAAATCAATCAAGCTATTGGTGCACATGAATTAACGAGCCACGAATGCAAGACTTTGGTCGAGTAATATGAAAAGTCTATAATTGATATGCTCTTATCTGAAGTATCTTTTTTTATTTTCATTTTTTATACACAAAACTACAAAAAAAAAACCTTGTTTAGTTTCAATATCTTGTAGGCAAAACCTGAGAAAATATGCTCCCAAATGAAGTTATGCATGTTTGAAGACTCTCATGATACTAGGTCAATTTCACACTTCTTTTACAATTATATTTATTTTAGTTATTCATATTATTGTTATCTGTAACATCAAAAATAACGTTAAATTTCTTTTACAATTATAATTAAATCATGATCACCCTAAACTATCATTCATGTTTGAAGGTTCATTCCATATTAATTATAAAACTTACTGTAACATCAAAATAACGTTCTTATGTATTTAAATGACTTATGCATATAGTTATTCATATGCATATGCATATAGTTATTCATATGCATATGCATAAATTTATTCTTATGTATATACTTAATATTATGCATATGCATATACATATACTTATTATTATGCATATGCATATATCATATACTTGTTGTTATGCATATGCATATACATAATCACAATCATATGTATTTAATTGCCAAATGCATATACTTATTTTTATACATATACGTATGCATATATATATATATATATATATGTATATGTATATGTGCATACATATGCATATGCATATGCATATGCATATATATATGCAGATATATATATATATATATATATATTATATATATATATACATATATTTATTCATATGTATTTGTATATGTTTACTCTTATGCATACATATAGAAGCATAAAAAATATTTTTTTTAAAATATGCATGTGCATACGAATGTTTTTTGTTAAATATGCATATACACAAAAAAAATATGAATATGCATTAAAAATGCATTTTCTTGAATTTTTTTAAAATATTAATTTTGAAATATAAGGAATATCTTTGCTGATTTTAAAAAACAAAAATAAAATTTTTTTTGTTTTCAAATAAGTGAAAATATACTTTATATTTCCAAATTAAGATTTAAAAAAAATCAAAAAATGCATTTTTAATGAATATTCATATTTTTTTGTGAAAATATACATTCTCAAAAAAATTAATATTTTTTATCAATTTTTTTGTAACACTATTAGATATATGTATTAACACGCACAAGTGAAATTTAGTAACTAAATTCATTGTAGAATCCAGTTGAAGGTGGATGTTGGTTCATATACCATTGATGTAATATATGAGGAAAAGATGAATTGTTGGATACAAATTTGTTTTGACTTGATTTCTTATGACCGGAAGTGTCATAAATGTGATTGAAAATTGCTATTGAATCTATTTCATTTTTGTAGCATGGATATGTAATCTAACAATTACCACCTCCTATCAAACATGAAACTCAAAAATCAATGCCTTCACTTTCACTCGATGAATTGAAAGAAAAAACTGAGAATTTTGGATCTAAGGCATTGATTGGTGAAAATTCATATAGAAGGGTTTATTTTGCAAACTTAAAAAATAGAAAAAGTGTTGCTGTGAAAAAACTTGATGGTTTCTACAGAGGCTGAATCAAATTCAGAGTTTTTGACTCAGGTAAAGTCAACTTATCTGCTTGGAATATACTTTTCTATTTTCATTTCTTACTATAACAACATTGTACATTGAAAAATCTACATAATCAGTGTTAGATGAAAGTATATTGTTATTTCTTGCATTCTTCTTTATGAATAATGTTTGTCTTTCGATTCAAGGTGTCAATGGTTTCAACACTCAAGCATGACAACTTTATTGACTTGTATGGTTACTATATTGAGGGAAATACACATGTCTTAGGCTTAAAAATATGCATATGACATGCATACGAATATACATATAGATGCATTAAAAAGGTTTTTTTTTAAATGTGCATTTGCATACGCATATATTTTTTTAAAAATATGCATATACACAAAAAATATGAATATGCATTAAAAATGCATTTTTGTCAAAAATTCTTCTTTCAAATATTAATTTCGAAATTTAAGGAATATTTTCATAGATTTAAAAATATATTTAAAAAAATACTAAAAATTAAAAAATTAGAAAAAATTTAAAAAAATTTAAAAAATTAAAAAAAATCAAATACAGTATATTAAAATATTCCTTATATTTCGAAAATAAGATTTAAAAAAGAATTTTCCAAAAAAATGCATTTTAATGCATATTTATATTGTTTATGCATATGTATATTTTCAAAAAAAATATGCACACATACAAGCATATAATTTTGTTTTCAATTTTTTTTTGTAGTATTCTTAGATATAAGTATTAACATGCATTTGTGAAATTTGGTAACTAAATTCATTGTTGATAAAAATTTTGTTGGTTCTCTCCGTCAATTTAGTTCTCCATTGATCTTCTTTCTCTCTCTCTCTCTCTCTCTCTCTCTCTCTATATATATATATATATATATATATATATATATATATATATATATATATATATATGTATATATTGTTAGGTTCATGTGAAACCATCATATTTTGTGAGACATGAGGACGCAATCCTAGCCATTCATTTTGGAGATAAAAAAAATATTTTAAAAATGGAAAATAAATGAAAATTTTTGAATTTTTTTAAAATATTATTTTCGTCTTTAATATTATCCAAAAAAAAGTTAAAAAGAAATTACCGTTTTTTTCAAAATATACGTGAAATATTCTAATAGAATATTATACTGTAAATTGTAACATCCCAATTTTTGAGGCCCAAAAAATTTTCTTTTTAATTAAGTAACTTATAAAACAGTTTACTGAAAAACATCAACGATTCATATCATTTCATAAAACCTTAGTCATGTGTCTCAAAACCATAACATAAAATAGTAACAATGTCAGAGTACAATCCCATGGATCTCAAAGTGCGGAAATCATATGTGTGCGATGCGCTACTACTAGGGTTGTAAACGAACCGAACGAACACGAACAAGGCCTTGTCCATGTTCGTTCTTTTAAGTTAGTCGAACAATAGATCGAACACAAACAGATAAACGAACAAGCATTCTTGTTCATGTTCGTTCGTTTAACAAATTACCTTGTTCATGTTCGTTTGTTTATGTTCATGAACATGCAAAACTAACCAACATAAACGAACAAAGATAAACAAACACAATTGAACATATATGAACATATATGAACATAAACGAACATATAATATAGTAATGTAATACAAAACAATTGAACATATATGAACATAAATAAACTTAAATGAACGAACATAAACGAACGTAAACGAATAACATGAACAAACGTTCATGAACATAAATAAATGAACGAGACTATTGTTCATGTTCGTTCGTTTAATTAAACAAACGAGAATTTGTGTTCATGTTCGTTCATTTATTAAATAAATGAACATAAACAAACGAGAATTTGATTTTGTGTTTTGCTAGATCTGTCATGGATGGACTTGTTTTACAAATCTGTATATGTATTAGATAAACACGAATCCAGAATTTCATGTGTGTGATTTCAGGAAAAAAAAAATGGGTTTTTACTTGTCGCCGGAAAAATAATGTTTCGCCGGAGAAGATGAACAGTGCATCGCCGGAGTTGTCAATGACGCCGGAAAACAACTATACCTCTGATAGTAGGTTATAAGGATGCTTTTTGAACAGTTCAAATGTAGACAAAAAAAATCAATGACTAAATTTGTACAAATCGAGAAATAAGTAACCTTTTAACTCATTATCCCAATACGTTACAAGAAAATCACAATAAATTAACCAAAAAAGAACCCCTGTCGTTTTAGCAGGAGAAGTCGATAACGAGAAAGTACTGAAGGTGTTCATCTAAAATCACAATAAATTAACCAAAAAAGAATAACTAGTGAAACCGACTATCAAATGAACGACTAAGATCACATCTAGGAGATGGTGATGCCTTTTATGCCGATGAATGTTTTAAGTTATAATTTCTACTCCCCGTTTTTTTAATCTCTTGAAATCGTCTCGTTAGTGTTTTCAAAGGAGAGGAAATCCACAGCAGCTCATCATCCTCTTCGTTTCTCAAGGTATTTCAGGCTATACACTTTCTCCAATTCAATTTTACTGCTTACAAATCACAAATATCGCCAAAAAAAGGATCCGATTTTTGTGTTTTCATACAACTTCCTATACCCATAGCTGTATATGCTCACATGAAAATCAATGTTTGATAATTATATGATGTCGAATAGTGTTTTCTGTGTTAATATCACTTCTGAGTCAAGTTCAATACGATTTTAGCAGATTTTACTAGCAAATAAACTTGACTAACAGGTCTGCAACAATGGAGACGTTTTTTGTTCATATCCGAATCCGTTAACGAAGGCCACCCAGACAAGCTCTGCGACCAGATCTCCGACGCCGTCCTTGACGCCTGCCTAGCACAGGACCCTGACAGCAAGGTTGCTTGTGAAACTTGCACCAAAACGAACATGGTAATGGTTTTTGGTGAAATTACAACCAAAGCTAACATCGATTACGAGAAAATCGTCCGTGATACTTATCGCGAGATCGGATTTGTTTCCGATGATGTGGGTTTAGACGCCGACAACTGCAAAGTACTCGTCAATATTGAGCAACAAAGCCCCGATATCGCCCAGGGTGTCCATGGTCACTTAACAAAGAAGCCGGAAGAAATCGGCGCCGGTGACCAAGGTCATATGTTTGGTTACGCCACCGACGAGACCCCTGAGCTCATGCCGCACAGCCATGTTCTTGCGACCAAACTTGGAGCCCGATTAACCGAAGTTCGGAAAAACGGGACCTGCACCTGGCTCCGCCCCGACGGGAAAACCCAGGTCACCGTCGAGTATTTCAACGACAAAGGAGCCATGGTTCCGATACGCGTCCACACCATTCTGATATCGACGCAGCATGATGAAACAGTCACCAACGATGAGATTGCCGCTGATCTGGAAGAGCATGTGATCAAACCGGTGGTTCCGACGAATTACCTCGACGAGAAGACAATCTACCATTTGAACCCGTCTGGACGTTTTGTAATCGGTGGACCTCACGGTGACGCTGGTCTCACCGGTCGGAAAATCATCGTTGACACCTACGGTGGTTGGGGTGCTCATGGCGGTGGTGCTTTCTCCGGGGAAGGACCCAACCAAGGTGGACCGCAGCGGTGCTTACATTGTCAGGTTAAAGAACCCCCACTTTCTCTCTCTTAATAATCTGGAAACAACAGAAAATCATGAACTGCAAATTGGAAAATAATATTAATCAGTAAATTATATTATCTTTTCAAAACTTTCACTTTACACCTTGGAGTATGCTTTTATTACTATGGTATTATGGTAACCCTAAAGCGAAAGCCCCATATTTTTTAACATATAACCCTCTCAATTAATTTTTACTATTTTAAATTAGGTAAGCTGCCAAGAGCATTGTGGCTTGTGGGGTCGCAAGAAGGGCCATTGTTCAAGTCTCGTATGCTATTGGTATCCCTGAGCCATTGTCGGTTTTTGTGGACACATATTGGACAGGGAAGATTCATGACAAAGAGATTTTGGAGATTGTGAAAGAAAACTTTGATTTCAGGCCAGGAATGATCTCGATTGACCTTGATTTAAAAAGAGGTGGCAATGGGAGGTTCTTGAAGACCGCTGCTTATGGACATTTTGTTTGCTTTATGGTTTGGTTTTTTTTTTTTGGAATGCATATGCTAGGAAGAAACATAAATAATTACAGGATATAGCGGATTGTATTTTATAACCAAGAGAGCCAACCGACTTTAACTATGTTTTTCTATGACATCTTAATGGGTTATAGTGACATGGTGTGGTTTAGCAGTTGAAAATTGTTGATATCTGGGTCGGTCTTTGGTTTTATGGCTTTTTAATGCCATAAGGCAACAAATGGAGCAATCAAATACACATACTAATTAAAATCACTAGATAATAGAAAACGGAAGTATCTTAAATAATTGATTATAAACGGAAGTTAGATATGTTAGACGATCATGTATACATATCACAAGCTATGTTCATGGTTGATTGATGTGGTGATCATATGGTGACTGATGAGGTGTAGTGGTGGATTGTAATTGCCACCACAACTAACCACACCCAATCATATTTCTCTCTCTATATATATATGGAATGGTTATTTGGAAAACAAAAAAACCCTAAAAATCATAAAAATGTATAAAAAAAATACCTAGAGATCACAAAACTTTTTTTTGACATTTTTATGAAAAAATCGAAGGTTTTTAAAAAAATTCGCTGAATTTTTTTTTTAAATAAAAAAAAAAAACTGATTTTTTAATTTTTTTTTCAGCGAATTTTAATAAAAAGCTGCGATTTTTTATAAAAAAATTCAAAAAAAAGTTTTGTGATCTCTAAGTATTTTTTTTATGCATTTTTATGATTTTTAGGGGTTTTTTGTTTTCCATAGAACCTAAACCTTATATATTATATATAATATATATATCATATATATATATATATATATTATATATGTATCAAAGCCACGTTTTAGACCAGAGATTAGTATGTATGATAACTCTGTTGTTATTTGGTTAATTTTTGTTTGAAGAATTTTAAGAAAATTTGAGTTTTGTAGAATGATACAGAGACCAGACCAGTGATTGGTTGGATTAGCGTAAGACGTGCAAGTATGGTAAGTCACGGAGCCGGACCAAATCATCGTTGGGCCGATGCTGCCCTCTTCTGTATCCTAGATAAAACAAGTAAGTTTCTTATAAAATCTTTAAACTAAAATTAATCAAATGAGTAGATTTTCACGCATATATCTAAAAAATATGATACTGGTAAAAATTTATGAATAAAGACAAGATTATGATGATAATCATATAAATCTATTGAAGAAACTATTGATAATATAGAACAAAATTTAAATGATTGGACTATACCTAAAACAAATATAAACACAATTTATAGAATAGGGACTTTTTGATTATTTTTCAAAGTTACTCAATTAAAATGACTGAACAAACCCTATCCATTGGTCAAAACAACAAAATATAAATTTGTTATCATCAAGATCTATTTTCGAACATAGACAAAAATATAAATTTCTTCATTTAGGTCTTGTTTCAATTGCTATCAAACCTCTTTTTAGAATTGGTGTTGATGCTCCTGTTCTCTTATATTAAGAGATAAAAGACATACAGATTTCAAAATTCTATTTTAGCTATGGCAGAAACAAATATCGCAAATGGCAATTTATTTTAATTGTTATCGAATTTTTCCGTAGGATGATTTGACAAAAAATATTTAGACACTTTGGTTTTAACTGTTGAAACAAAGAATTAGAATTTAAAAATAACTCTAAACCTTTAGCAATTATTTATCGTGTGTTGTTATAAACCATGACAACGACCTTAGAACCAAAGACCCGTTTGTCAAATCCAAGAAATAAACAATTATTACGAAGCAAATACTATCATACAAAAGTTCATATGCCTAAACGACTTAAATGGTCAGAAATTACTCAATCATGTAATTGGATTTACAAAATGTTATTGAACCAAAATCTTAGATTCTTCAAAACAATTTCAATATAATGGGAGCATAATGATGCTCAGTTGATATAAACTGTTCTTCTACAAATTTTTCTTCATCTAGATTTTCTACTAGGTCTATTCCTGAAATTGAGTACTTCTAATTTTCGCTTTCAAATCCAAAGTCTTTAAATGTAAAAACGGTTGACTATTCTAGTCCTATTCCTAACCTCTTTATCAAGAAGACCAAACTAGTGATACAAGTTTACCAAGTCCTACTAAATCTGATGTTTTAATGAACTTCAAAATTATAGACACAATTATGACTAATAAAGTTCAAATAAATTGCAATTCTTAAATGAAATAGAGTTACTGCTATTAAGAGATAAGAAATTCAAAAAAATATTTAAAAACTCTTGCAAGAAAAGATATTAGATTAAAAAATATAAATAATGATAAAGAACTATTGGAATTAGACAAGAAATTAATAACATAACAGTATTAAAAACCCTTTATATACATCTTGATAATTATTTAAGAAATTTATCTAAATATACGTGTTAATGAGTTCTAAAAGACAGATTAGTTGTAGTAATAATAATAATTTTGGAATAATTATTAAAGACCAGATGGAAAATTATTGCAAGCATTTTCTAAGAAATAAATAGAATTAACAACTAAAAAAGACGAAGAAATTAAATGAATTAATACTGAAAAGGACACATAAATTATATATTCAAAAGAAAATATATATTGCTTATCAAAAATGATTAAAAATAAAACTATTGTTATTAGTGCTCAACTTAGTATTATTAAAAATATATCTTTTAGATTAAATCAATCAACTTGTTAAAATGAATATTAATTAGATATTTCTAAAATACCATCATATGTTAATTTTGATTATTTAAAAGAAGAAGAATATTATAAAGATTATAATAACATAAAAAGAATTTGGCATGAAGAAAACTTTTCATATTATATAAGATTTTTACATTTGGACTTTGGGAAGATTATGTTTTATCAAATCAAATTCACTCTCCGTTTTTTCAATGGTTCGAATTAATTTATGCTCCTAAACATAATATAGATTATCCTTTTAAAATGCAAACTATTTTTCCTGTTTCTTCAAAAACATACAAGGATGTTATTACTAATCAAGAAATTATTTCTGAGTATCCGCCAAAAAAAGAAATCATTTTGATAATAATTTATTGCAACTCCTTTAGGTTAAAGTTCCGAGTCAGATAACAAAGAAAAATTTTTCAAAACATTATTTTAAAATAATTACTCAATGAAACTCCTTTTAACTATTTCAGATCACTAAATAGGATGGAAGAAAATACTATAAATTTACAATTATCAAAAGAAAATAAAATTAAAACAAAAATTTTATAATAATATAGCAAGTTCTAGTAATGTCAGCTTTATTCCTCATCAAATAAATGGAAATTTTAATCTTGGAAATAAGTTTAATTGATGAATTAGAAAAAAGACTTAACTCTTTTCTAGTTTCAAAAAATGTATCTATAAATATGTTAAGAACAAATAAGACTCTTTGACGAATCTGATGAAAGTAATAATGAAAGTGAATTAAATTTAGACAATCTTACTCAACAATTCATAATGACAATGATGATATAAAGCACTTACAATGATTTTTCAAGATTAAATAAGATTAATTATTTTGGTATAATCCAAAACCAACTATTAAAATTATTGGAATAGACCTTCTCTTCCTGATATTCAATTGAAGAAAGAGCTTTTCAATATGAGCGTTCAGCTTACGGGGTACTTCTTTTACGAAATGGAATATCGATGGTAACTCTGAACATCAAATTCTTATATTGTTCAAGAAATGACCATGGCAGCTAATGCCTTACAAGTCTCACAATAATACTCAACTTCAAATGTTAATATTATTATTTTCTGGGTTTACTGGTACTCTTAGGTTGGTGGGATTTCTATATTACACCAGAAGAAAAGAATTTTATTATAGAATGCCAAGAAAACCGTTATAAAACAAGATAATTACCAATTCAAACCAAGGATGATATGGTTAATACGTTAATTTTTGCTATAATCAAAAACTTTTAGGAGATCCACTACTTTTCAGAAAGAACTTCTGAAATTCTAATGAACTTACATTGTAGAAAATTAACTGATTTCAGATGGTACAAAGATAATTATCTCGTTAAGTTTTTTCAGACCAGACTTGTAAAGAATCTTATTGGAAAGAACGTTTATTGGCTGGACTTCCAAACTTTTTGCCGAAAGAATTAGACAAAAATTAAGAGAAAATTTTAATAATACAATTCCTTATCAAAACCTTAACTTATGGAGACTTAATTATTATATTAATAAAGAAGGATTAGCTATTTGGTGCTGACCTTAGATTTAAAGAAAACTTAAAAAGATAGAATTAATAGTAGAATGAATTAGGAAATTTTTGTCAACAATAGGGTTATCAACCATTAAACAGGTCGTCTACTTCAAAACCAAAAAATATAATAAAAAATCTTCAAATATTTCAAGAAAAAGAAATATAATAATCGAAAAATTAAGAATTATAAGAAAAATAAATTTTTTAACATCAAAAACCCTTATAACGATCTAATAAAATTCTAAAAGAAAATCAAAAGACAATTATTATTTGCCATAAATGTGGTCGTAATGGTCATAATGCTAATAAATGGTTATGCAAAAAACAAAATTAATGAATTAAATATTTCAGAAGAATTAAAAGAACAAATTAGAAAAATTATGGTTAAATTCTGATTCCGATTCTGATTCTAGTTTTAAACCCGATTTTACAAGAAAATGATTAAAACATCTTAGAACAAAATACTTCAAGTTTCGGAAGATTCTGATACATGCAAATGTGTTGGAAAATGTATTGTAATTATTCAATTAATGTCCTTACAAACAATGACAAAGATCTTTTAAAAAATTGGATTCAATTAAGATAAAAATATCCAAGAACTGTTGATAAAACAAATGCTTAATAAGAATGAAAATTCTATTTCAAAATACAACAAATTTTTTATTTAAAAGACATATATGAAAGATTTTCGGAAAACAAACCCATGTCCATACAAGAACTTCAGAAGAATTAAATTAGTTCACACAAACAAGACCTAAAAGAAATTAAAG